CAGAAGAGTGCGCACAGTATGGCATGAGCTTTTCACATCAGTTAATAAAAACTAAGATCTCATAAAAAGTAAACATAACGAAATGCAAGTTGACGAAATATAATTGTAGTATGTGTAAATGTCATATAGAGTTGACATAATATAAGGGAAGGTTCATATAATGCAATAGTAGTGTGGGTTAATGTCATAAAGAGTTGACATAATATAATGGAAGGTTCACATAATGCAATAGTAGTGTGGGTTAATGTCATAAGGAGTTGACATAATATAATGGAAGGTTCACATAATGCAATAGTAGTGTGGGTTAATGTCATAATGAGTTGACATAATATAATGGAAGGTTCACATAATGCAATAGTAGTGTGGGTTAATGTCATAAAGAGTTGACATAATATAATGGAAGGTTCACATAATGCAATAGTAGTGTGGGTTAATGTCATAAAGAGTTGACATAATGTAATGGAAGGTTGACACAATGCTATAGTAGTGTTCTGCTATAAGGCAGTGACGGCGTTCCATATTCTGGAGTTCTCCTTGTTTATATTGAGAGATCAACACTAATCATTCAAGTTCTCACATGCTCCCGTAAGCAGTCAATCGTTTACTCGTATCGATATGGGTATTTTTTAAAATATTTTTTCCCTAACCGAATTAATTGATCTTCTTCTTTTTTCATTTATTAATGCTATAAATTGATCAAACTATCAGGTATTGTTTACATTTGTTAATGACAAGTCTTAAATAAACTATTTACTTTCTATTGTATGTAATTCTACAGCATTAAATAAATATATGTGTGCCTGAGAAAAACAGAGTATCACGTACGTTGACCAAATGCGTTTTTGTCTTTACGAGAAAGGCATTCATTATCTACTGGTAGTACTCTACAACTGCAACTCAGATTGAATTCAACGAACAGTCATACCTGGGTATTTGTCAGACTGATTTATTTTTTAACTTTGCCATGAACTCTGATGGACTGGTAATTATTTTGATTGAAGTAAACGATTAGGCGTTGAATAATTGATTTCAAGTAAACATTTCCCCTCATTGAGAATTGCAAAGTAATTTTACAAATGAAGGCATTGCATTGATTATTGACGCATTCTTTGCCGTTTAATATTAAGACTCTGATAAATATATTTTTATTCACAACAATTAAGATGTTTTCTACTTTGAGGTCAAAATGTCAATGTTAAGCCAGCATGTCGTATTTTAAACCCTAACCCGGCTTTCTAACACCAACTTTAATGAATCATGACCATGGCAGTGATTTTTAAAATACATTTAATCGAAAAAGCAATTATATTTAACCGAGCGAACTTTTATCAAAAAATCATCCTGAGAAAATATGTACAGTAATATAAATGTGAATTTTTATTTACCAAAACAAAATGGAAAAAGGTCAAATGGGAAATAATTTACGTTGGTTTTCTTTTGTCATACTTTACTGTGAAGAACCCCCCCCCCCCTTCATCCTGTAGTCATGTAGTTTCTACACCATTAGAGAGAGAGAGAGAGAGAGAGAAGATGGGGAGGACAAGGCGGTCAGAATACCTATAACGTCAGATATTAACAAATAATATTCAGTATTTAAATTAACTTATCAATATTTGAAAGTTATGAAATCAAGAGGGAAAAAAAACCTTTTCTGAGAGAAAAAAAATCTCGTAAAATTTTTTTCTTAATATAAAGACATTAGATGGTATTCGAACCCCCTAGCAATAAAAATCCGAAGTATCACATAGTTTTGAATTTAAATCATGAATCCAAATGGGTATAATATATTGTACATAGTATCTGTGCGACTGTCCTGTGGTACGACTTACTGTCTGTATTACATCAGATGGCGGGATAGTGACACTTTCTCTCTTCTACACCTGGATGCCGTGCTGACAGGACGTGTCTGGGACAGCAGCGGAGCGAGAAGTCGACCCGGGCCAGAACCCACTGTGTTTGTATTTGTGTATTTGTATGTATATTAATAAATACTTGTAAAGAACACCCCCTATATGGTTACTTTAATATTTATCAAGTAGGAGGCCAACACACTTCTATCCAACATTTAAAAAATGTGATATGAGGCGCATTTTTGCACATCTGACGAATTACACATGTGATGGCTTCTAAAATGCGATAAAAACCCTTTTTTCAAACTCAAAGATGGGACCACAGGCAAGAACAACTTTCATAATAACCATGTGTGGAAAAAATACAAATACAAATTGTTTGTGCTTGTGGTAAATACCATAGGCGTCGGAGGCAAATTGAAAGGGGGTGGGTGGGTTTAAACCAATAGAAAATGTTAGCCCTAATTTTCAATGCCTATATTATATCTATTTTTGCAAAAAGTGGGATGGGCCCCGCATGTAACGCTTCAAAGAATCAATCATTTTTGATAATGAACCGTTAATGGGTGGTTCAACCTGCAAAAATATAGCCCTCGCCGATTTTTTAATCTGATAATTCTGGAGAGGGCTACAATTCTACAGCATATTCGTAATGATACGAACATTTTTTTAAAATACGGACGACTTCAGGCAAGATAAATTGTTTTTACATTCAACTTATATAAGGAATCACTGTTTAGTTAGTATAGTATTCCAGGGCAAGAACGATAGTGCGAAACATGGGATAAAGGGCGAAGCGCCCTCCATGTATCGTCGGTCAATATCTGTCAACCTGGGTCATTATAAATGCATATTGACCGTGCATTGAGTCGATCCATATTTATTATATTATAGAATTTCCCGAATTCGTTAGCACAATGTTTATCTTTCTAATGTTTACAGAGATAGTGATATGCTGTTGTTGCGTGGACCCTGAGGTCCATGCAGTAAATATATAAGCGAGGCTAAACAGGATATCCTGCCATGGGCAAACGACAGGCTACGCATGCGCGAATATGCTAGAGAGTTCGCACCTTAGGCAACTTGCCCGTAGAATAATTCGCCCTATTCGAATTAGAATCAATGCCATTTATTGGCAAATCGCGCATATCGCATCTATATATTTAGGGGCAGATCCGAATTTCTCTCTTATACGTATACTTTTATTGATTCGACATGTTTTATGGCACAAGCATTTCAAAAAGTAGGAAGAACTTGCAGTATGTCAATACTGTACATGTAACTTAACCACTTGAATGAAAAACGTCATTCAACGACTAGTTAAAGCTTTTAAAAGATAAAACAAGTTTTCACCGGCATTAATTTTGTGCATCAAGGCTCACAGAATAATCTGATATTTCAGTCATCCAATTACCGTCTAATAGAGGTCGGTAGCAACGGTTTTTAATGTTGGGGGGGGGCGGGGGGACTCTGACAAAAAATCTGATTACTACAGAGCTGTGCCACACGTGAACCATCAGATCTATTCTAACCATGATAGATTTCTTCCGTATAAATCGGAGATAAAATTAAACAATTTTGCTTTGAGACTACAATCCATTGGCGTCGGAAGGAAATTGAAATTGGGGGAGGGGGGCTAAGTATAAAAAAAACTGTACCTTTGAAAAAAAACTGACAAGCAAAAAAAAAAAAAAACAAAAAAAGGGAAATGTCCTTTTCCCAAACACGAAAATCCTATTTCGATGGGGGGGGGGGGGGGGCAGGTTCAAACTTCAGTACCACCACTTTCCTCTTTCTTAATGTATACTGCGACTTGTCGATGGAAAGGGGGGCTAAACCTACGCAGCAATGTTCAATGTCTATACTAAGTATATATTTGGAAAAAAAATAGGGCTAAGCCCCCCCCCCCCCCTTACCCCGGTTCCGACGCCTATGCAATCAGTCACAAGTTGGCAGATCATTGTATTTTTATATATTGAATTTCGGTTAGAAACACATGCATATGCATGGTCCACGTATTGCAGTCCTTTTTTAAAGGACAGCAACTTGTTGTTAACCATAAATGTTAACAATCATCATAGCTATTAGCTAGCCTATATCTGTCGTGTATTCATCAAATATCGTCTACCTTGTTAAGGTGGGGTTAACGCCCCCTTTTTCAGATTGACACCATTCTTGAGACCCATTTGGTTATATGTTTTATGTCAATCATACCATAATTGTATCTAGTCATTTGATGTAACTTGTTGTTGCTCTCAGGTACAAACTTGATTTTATTTGTCTCTTAACTATTGATGTTGATGTATATAATTTTAGTTACTTTTGTACATGTTTTTATATTGTGCTTTTGATCCACTGTCATTTATTGCATATTTCAATACATTACCATTTTTATTCTTTAAAGAGGAGTTATGTTCTTATTTGATGTAGGTCGTAAGGCAAGCATGCAGACATAAATAAGCTGAATGTAAATGTTTCAGATTTTTTTTTAATATTACTCACAGGCACTTGTTTCGGTAATAAATTTTAACCCATCACATAATAAGAGCACAATATATCTAACTCCGAATAACACAGAGTACCCCCTCCCCCAGAATCAGACAGACGGACAGACAGGGCAAAAACAATATACCCTCAATTCGTCGATTACACAAAGGACAAGATAGGATAAGACCCCTTTTTGGCCTCTGGTTTCCGGTGTCTTTTAGAATGATGCAACAGTCTATAAATTGAAAACCACTTATCACCCTGCCACAAAATGAGTATTTGTTCTAACGTTAAATTACAGGATACAAAGAGGTCACACGAATGTCTGAAAGTAAGTCAATTTCCGTATTGCGTCATTTTCATGCAAATTTTAATCAATTTACACCATATTTTCATTCAGAAAAACATAAAGCACAAGCTTTCCTATCTATCATACTTTAGTATCAGATGTACGTTTTGTACAAAAAATCTCAGATAGGCAAGTTTGTGCTATATGTTTTCCGAAGTGAAATGTATCCCAAATATGACGAAAATTCACCAGCATTGAGAAAATTTGGAAAAAACGTCAGATTTCTACACCCAATTGTTGCCTCAGTGAAAGCTTTGAATCAAAATTAGTCCTGGTTTTATAACAAGCATCAATCCAAGTTCTTAACTACAAACTATCACTGACAGTTTTGTCTTTGGTCTGTTTTCTTTTTACATCAAATAGGGGGGCAGATTCCGTGGTTACCATACCTTGTCAAAGTTGCCTTTAGCACCCTTTTCTCATGGGCATAATCATACATCACTGATGACTTCCAATATAGAAAATAATATATAGAGAATTTTTTTATTGCACTAGTCCTGTACATACATTGACCAACACTTAAGTTCAAAAGATGTAAATTATTATGTTAGATAAAATTAAAAAAAACAACACTTTATCCAACATTACGCCGACGGTTTCGATTGTTCCTTCGAGGTGCCCGAAATCTTCTTCGCGTATTCCCTTGTTGTAGACGTGGTCTTCGAATATTTCCTCGGATTCGAGTATTGCCGGATCCTCGACCTCGAGTATTGGCGGGCCTTCGAGTATTGCCCGAGGTTCTCCTAAGATTTAAGAAACCTCTAGATTGAAACTTTTTCCTTTCGGGTTTCTTTGGCCTTTCCCTTATTCCTGCCTTCTCAAGTTGTTGAGCTTCTGGAATATCCCTCAAATGTTCTTTATTTAAATCTACCACAAAGTTAGGATCAGATGCTTTTTTCAAGACTGAGTCTATCTGAGTTTGCATTTTTGTAGGTTGAGTGTTTCCTTTGGCAGAACGTGCAAACAAAGCGTTGACGGGGTATGGTTTACATGATTGACAACATACTGATCTGTAATTTTCACAAACGTAAATGGGGTTTTCCTTGACAAAATATTCACAGAATTTGTTAGCATCCTCGACACAACCTGAAAATTGATAAAACGAAAGATATATATTAGGTTTTGATAGCTATGTTTTTTCTTGGATGCAATTGAAAAAGATGTTAAGTCCAAGCAAATGCAGAAAAATTTTGAACTATTTACGATGTTTAGAACTTTAAAATATATTATTTATATAATTGATGTTACCATTTTTCTCTTTTGTAGATTTCAATTACAAATCAATTAAAGAAAACTTATAAAAATGCACCTTTTTCGGCAATTTTTGTACATGTCTCGCAACAATCTTGCTTGACATTTTTGTAGAAACATTGTCCAGGATTCTGTTGTACATCCCAACATTTTCTGTCTTGTCTATCCGCACATGCTGTGAAATAAAACATGAATAATTTCTAGTATTCACATCCACGATCAGGATTAAAAGTATTACGAATGAGAAATAAGGAGAACGGATTTCATTCAAAATACATCGTATAATTCAATCATTCAGTACTACCAACCTTTGATGAAAAAATGTATCTTTACTGAAAAAATCGAACCCTAAACAAACACTATAATTTTAAAGAGGTACAATATTTTTAAAACTTTCCTCCTCAACAAAAACTCTAGTGAAAATCTTTAATCTCATTTGACGTGTTAATAAAAGACAACAAGGTTTACCTCCGCATTCTTTACAGCATAATCTTCTAAACATGTTATTATGGCAAGGAATATACAGCTGCTGTCCCACTTCTGTACAGGACCTAAATCCAAACTTAACTGAAGGGTTGACACACATATGTTGATACGGTGACACAGTTGCTGTTGTGGTTAGTACAGTTGTTGTTGTCCTTGTTGTTGGTGTTGTAGTTGCCGTGGTTACTGGCTGAGCAGCTGTTGTTGTTATTTGTGTTGTTGGTTCACTTGCTGCAGGAGGTGTGGGTGGTTCCGTTGGCGATGGAGTTGGTGCTTGTGTGGTTGTCTGTACAATTGGTGACGGAGTTGGCGCTTCTGTGGTAGTTGTCTGTTTAGTCGTAGTTGTGGGTGGTGGCTTTGTTGTCGTAGGTGGTGGTTGGGTAGTTGTTGTTGGTGGCTGAGTTGTAGTAGTAGTAGTAGATGTTGTTGTTGTTGGTTCTGTCAGTGGTGGTGTAGTACTAATTGGCGGAACATAGTCAGCACACGTATCACAACACTGATCTCTGTATGCTTCGTCTGTACCACAATCCTCTGGTACACATGTGTCTATTTTATCACCATATTCACAACCTTGAAAGACATTATCTCAAATATTAGTACAAAACTGAATCCACACCGTAAATGCTTTGAAAAGTTAAAAATGCCGAACGTTAACACACAGAGGGACGCCAGATAAAATGTAATCAGAAAAGCTTAAAACTGAAGACTAAATATTCAACAATTTAAAAATCAGTTCACCTTCTGGTCCCGTGCTCACTTTATCACAAGTGTCACAACAATCCTTCTCCTCTACGTAACACAGAGAGGGGTTAGTCAGAATCTTAGAACAAGAGTCACTTCTATCGCCAAATGGACAGTCTGTAAATAAAATTGTACATCAATTTTATGAAATCGGTCTCCTAGGTTCTCTCCTAGGAACCTAGAAACTATAGGACTACGAATTTAACGAATTTAAAATAAGAATTTTTGCATTTTCATTTTCTTATAAAATTTTAGATATATATGACCAGAAGTAGAATAACTTTTCGTAAAATTGTTAAATTTAATTTTCATTTTATGGCATGTTTTCTGTATGTAATACATTTACATACTCTTTTGAATGAAATAAAGACACTAAATTAAGGTTCGTCGTTAGATAACAATGTTGAAAAAGATGGTGTAATCGACATTTTCATTATTATAACCTGGTTTTAATTTGTTTGCAGCTTTCCCACAGGATTCGCAACAGCTCGTCATGTAGTTGGATTTATAGCATTGGGAAGGGGTTTCAGCTACAACCTGAGCGCACGTCTTCTCGAGGAAGGAAAATGTTTTGATTGAATCCCCATGCACACAATCAGCTACAATTTAATAAGGTGAGTGTAAAAAAGGTGATATGGGGATGTCTGAAACATACAATGAAATAGTTGAAAGGTTTAAAATCTTATGACGGAAGTCAACGAACTTTTCGAACAATCCTCGAATGTATGATTAAAAGCATTTTTAAATTTTACTCACGATCTTTGCTAGGAGCTTCTGCGTCACTTACACATCGACCTTCTAGACACCACTAAAATAAACCAATTTTTCATATTCATGATTTTAAAATTTACACACAAAACGAAAATGGCATTCCCTTTTTTCCAGATAATGTTGAGAAAAAACATACCTTTTTATCTCCACATGAAGTCCCCCTAAATGCAGTTCCAAATACAAACGCATTTTCACTCTCTCCCGTGTTACAAGCCATTGAAGTACATATATCCGCGAATGATTTCAGAACATTGCCCTAAATTAAAACAAAGATAAAAATCTTTCAGATATGTGTATATTTATATTACACATAAAAGCATATTGGGTATATATGCTTTGTGGCAACGCACTTTGTAAAAATTACGCACTTTGAAAATTTTTTTCAAAGTGCGATAAAATTGGGACAAAATCAACGAACTTTGAAAATTCTTTTCAAAGTGCGTTAAATTTTGGACACACTCAACGCACTTTGAAAAAAATTTCAAAGTGCGTTTAGAGTGTACATAAATATTTTTACCATGGGGACATTTAACGCACTTAAAAAAAATATCTTTAAAACAAAAAAACTCTATACTCAGACTTTAGTAATTGAAAGAATCAATTTGTATTAGTTATATCTTTTGAAAAAACGTTTTAATTTACACGTACTCATTTAACCTTATTGGGAACAAGGAGAAGACGAGTAAAAGGTCTCTCAGTCCAACTTTTTTTCTTATACATTGTACATAGCCGTCGGTAGCAAATTGAAAGTGGACCCCCCTAAAGGTATGCCCCAGTTTTCAATGCCTATATATATCTTTGCAAAACATTAGTGTGCCTAAGACCCCGTTCCCGGTACCGATGTCTATGCTACATGTACAAAAATATATATATTTGCATAACTGGTATGACGTTGAAACCTTTCAATAAATTTTAGTTTACATATAAAATGCATTCAAAATGGAAAAAAATTAAGAACAGTAAAACATTTAAGAGAGAAAGAATTTTCAAAGTATGGAAAAATCAAAATCGCTCACTTTCACATCCTGAAATGACCTCATTACCGAAGAGTTATCAAACATGTTAAATTATTTATCATACCTTAGATTTGCAAGAATATTGACCAAGCCATAAACATTTTTTCAAAGTGCGTAATTTTTCAAAGTGCTTTGTAACGATGCTTTATGTACAGTATTGATAAATGCTCAATACTACAATGTATGCACTACCTCTCCTGATTTTTTTTATATAGATACGTGACACGTATGTCAAACTAAGAATATAATCTTTGTCAAAAAGATTAAAAACCAAATTAATATACCACGCACCAAGAACTTGAAACCATGACACAATTAAGAAATAGTTGCAAGATGTAGGAAAAGTTCAAAATATGTGATGAGTAAATCAGGACAGTTACAGTATACATGTATTAAAAGCAGAGGATTCGATTTTTGCATTAGAGGCGACAAGTTAAAAATCGCCAACAATTTATTCCCATTCATCTATTTAGATATCTTTAAACACATAATAAAAACTCCATTACTTTTGCTAAATTATATAATTTATTCGGATGAATCGCTAAATTTGTGTCCCATAAAACATCCATTCATGTGGTAACTTAATGGCAGAGTTTCATCCCATGTTATATAGATAAGCTATCAATTGCTGCCTGATTAAAACTAATAGCAACAATATCTTGAGTCTTTTTACATGTGCAATAGGAAATGCATGCTTTACCGAGCGGGACAGAAAGGCCCCTGAAGACGGTTTGTATTACATGAAATCACAACTGAGTCAATAGACATAACTTACCCATCCATAATATGAATTAGGTCCTACAATGGCTTTGCACTGGTCATTGGGATTTGTTAATTGCCCGGGGTGTGCGGCAATATTTTGATTGAATTCCTTTGTATCATAAATTAGTGCTTCATCAGTAAGACAATTACCAACTCTAGAATCAGGTTTACTTCTGTAAAATAGAATTAAAATTATGTGCGGTATGGTATTATTTAGCGTGTTCGAAAAGTTTTCTTTAAAGTGACAATACCACGCATCTCTTCAAAAACAGACTTGTTAAAATTTTCCCATAGGATTTGGAATTTTTTTCATACTCATAAATTTATACACTTTCAGAAAATTACAAATTTTATAAGTGAATAATTCTGATTATTTCATTAAAATAAATAATTATTTATGGTACATGAATATATACATCGCAACGTGTTCGAGGTTCCACATTCCATGCTATACACGCATGCGTAGTTTTCATAAACAAAACAGCATGGTAAGAGAGGGTGAAGCCCGGTAGGCCTGCTACATTGACAAAGTCGAAAAAACGAAAAACAAAACAAGAAATAGGGCTTGAAATTAAAAAGCAACTTTCCTGAAAAAAAAATTAGTTGGGAGATTAGTATAATCATTGGACGAAGAAGAAACGAGATCTCTGCGACATTCACGTGGGGCTCGCGAAGGGTAATTCTACCCTACAGGTTTGTTGATACATGCTATCATTTCTCGTATCTCCACGGCTTTCACAGAAAAAAATCAGTGTAAACTCAACATAAAAATGCACTAATGACATATAAAAATTATTGCCATTATGATTTGAAGTGCAAATTGTATTGGAACTGCAGAGAGATATTTTGTTTGACATTTTGCCGCGATGACGTATGATTTGGTGGATTTTCCTTTCCTGCACCCCAATACACAAGACGTCAACATTTGTACCAAATCATGTTGAATTCGTCTGAATGCATACTAAAATGTTAACTATTATTGATTTACAGGAGAGTTAAGACATTTTGATTCTGAAAATTGCTTTTACCTAATATTCCATTAAAATTGTAAACCCTACATTGCATGCACGTGCCATTTTAGAATTCACGTGGTACAAGTAAACAAATCTTAGTTGTACGACCCTTGAGTTTCCGGCAGATTCTAATTACGTTAATTTTGTATGAGGGAGACTATTTATTTTTGCTCAAAATGTTTACGTCAACTTTTTACCTTATTCCTGAA